TGTAATTTTAAAACTTTTTTTGAAAACCAGAAACGGACCTAAAAAAAGAGGAAATGTACCCAAAAAAAGAGGAAACCAATCTGAGGATTTAAAACTTTTTTGAAAACCGTAAACTGATTTTAAAAAAAGAGGAAACGGACACAAAAAACCGAAAACGAGTCAAATGTAAATATAGCGGAAACTGATTCAAAATATTTGGAAATCCCTCAATACTTTTAAGTTTTTGAGGGATTTCCGAAGATTCTTGAAAAAGAAGGAAATGGGCCCAAACTCACTTTTGGGTCAATTTCTGTCTTGAGGCGTTTCCATGTTTAGGTGTTTCCATAGCACCAAGAGCTCAATGTTAGATGTTGTATTATTCAAAATTAATAATTTCTTTTCCTTTGCTTTAATAAATGTTTGATAAAGATAATCTGATTTCTCTAGCTTTTTGAGTTTCTGACTGTCCACATACGTTCACCCAAATCAAAGCAAGAGACTCTAACGTTTGAGTAAGTATTATTAACTTACAAGCAAATCTCTGAAATATCTCCCAAATGTTATATTTTGAGCAGGATCAGTTGCTTAATGCCTGTGCCAGGAAGAGGATCTCTCATTGCAGGTCCCTGTTTCACAGAAGAAAAGAGTCATGCTTAGAGTTGTTAATGACATATCCTACAGGGAGAAGCAAGTGAGGTGCTATGGAAACGCCTCAACACGGAAACACCTCAACACGGAATCGGACCCAAAAAAAACGGAAAACTCCCCAAAATGAATTTTTTTGAGGCGTTTCCTGTTTTTTCAAAAACTATCGGAAATCCCTCAAATCCAATTTTTAGAGGAATTTCCCGTTTTTTTTGATCCGTTTCCTCAATTTTTAGGTCGGATTCCGGTTTATCAGGATCTTATATTGTTGAGGGATTTCCCAATATTTTTGAGGGATTTCCCAATATTTTCGATCCGTTTCCTCATTTTTTGGGTCCGTTTCCGGTTTTCAGATAAAATTTAAAATTCTCAGTTTGCTGATCGGTTTCCTCTTTTTTTGGGTCCGTTTCCTCTTTTTTTGGGTCCATTTCCGATTTTCAGAAAAAGTTATAAATTTTCAGTTTGTTGATCGGTTTCCTCTTTTTTTGGGTCCGTTTCCTCTTTTTTTGGGTCCGTTTCCGGTTTTCAAAAAAAGTTTTAAATTCTCAGTTTGTTGATCGGTTTCCTCTTTTTTTGGGTCCGTTTCCTCATTTTTTGGGTCCGTTTCCGGTTTTCAAAAAAACAATTTAATTCTCAGTTTGTTGATCGGTTTCCTCTTTTTTGGGTCCGTTTCTTTACTTTTTGGGTCTGTTTCCGGTTTTCAAAAAAAAATTTAATTCTCAGTTTGTTGACTGGTTTCCTCTGTTTTTGGGTCCGTTTCCTCATTTTTTGGGTCCGTTTCCGGTTTTCAAAAAAAGTTTTAAATTCTCAGTTTGTTGATCGGTTTCCTCTTTTTTTGGGGCCGTTTACTCATTTTTTGGGTCCGTTTCCGAATTTCAAAAAAAGTTTTAAATTCTTAGAAATCCCTCAACACTTTTTAGTTTTTGAGGGATTTCCGATAATTCTTGAAAAAAGAAGGAAACGGACCCAAACTCACTTTTGGGTCCGTTTCCATGTTGAGGCGTTTCCATGTTGAGGCGTTTCCATAGCACCGCAAGTGAAACATAGGAATTTCCTAAAACAAGAACTACTTTTTCAGCATGGCTCAGCTGTAAGAAGGAGAATAACCCCTGATGGATACACAAACCATGCCTAAGAGGTGCAGTTAAGGTTTCCTTTAAACTCCCCTTAGTTGGAAAGACTTTAACTCTAAGGAAAACAGGGAGCAATCCATAATACCCTTCCTCCTCCAAACTTTTGTAATTCTCTCCTAACTTTTAGGAGTGGCCTCTAAGCAAAGAAACAATTAACAAGAAGAAAAAAGAAAAAGGAAAGAGCAGAAGGAAAATATCTGATGATAAGCTTTACACTGTCAATTTTTCTGATGGGGAATGAAGACAACATTAGAGAAAGGGCTAGGAGACATTCCTCCCCTCTGTTTATTTTATACTAAGTAAAATGTTTAGGAAAATAAGTTGCTGAGACATGTAACACATGTGCAAATAGTACAGAGTTCAGAAGAAAGGAAAGCAAATCAGCTCAGCTCAATTCAATGCAAAGTTAAGAAAAATCAAGACCCTCTCAGTGTAGCTATTACTTGTAGTCTGGCAGCTGCAAGGATATCCCCCCCCCCAATTTTTTTTTTGAAAGTTAGCTGAAGTTTAATTGATAGATGTACGAAAAAGAAAAAAATCAAGAAAAATAGAAATGTCAAAACATTTCCTCTGATATCATAAACATATTCAAAGATTTTTAAAAATAAACTTAAAGTTTAAAAATAAAAATGTAAACAAATTGTAAAAAATTAATTAATGGAACAATCACTTTGAATATTTTACCAAATACTCTCAAAATTTTCTTTTTTTGATGAATTTTTGAAAAAATTTGCTTAAAAGTATTTTTTCGCAAAATTTTTGCTTTCTTTTTTTTGTGAAATTGATCCATTTTATCTTTGCTTTATTTTCTTCATGAAATTTTTAATTTTTTCGCGAAACAGATTGAAGCAAAATTTTGAAAAAAAAAACATTTTTTTGTACAAGGATTTTCCTTTTTCATTAAAAAATCTATTTCTCACTTATTGTTTTTTAATTTAAATCCAGGGATGAGAAGGCTAAATATGTTTCTGGACTAAAAAGTTATATAATAATCTTTTTCTTTTTTAAGCAGAAAACAGTTTTTTTTTCTGTCAAATAGACATCCTTTAAAAAGGACAGTTTTAAAATTTTCTAAAACAATAACTTCTGAAAAGGAGCATTTTGAAATTTTTTCAAAACAAAATGCTTTTAAAAAAGAGTGTTTTTAAATTTTCCAAAAATTTCACAACAAGTTTTGAAATAAAACCATAAATGCCAATCAATAAATTCATGTGCCATTCAACTTTTACACCCAAATGTTGTAAACCCCGAGTTTTATTCGGTCGACAGCAGAATTTAAAACACAATAATTGACTCTCTTAGTTCATATTTATTAATTCAATAGATGTAATAATTGTATATTTATATTTAGGAGATTAGTATTCAGCATTCAGATCCACCAAGGTCTCAAACGACATCAGGAGCTCCGCCCTTCTCAGCATCAATAAGGACATGTGGGTCAACAGTTCCACCTCCATTCTCAGATAGTGTTCCTCCCTAGATATCCTCCTACGCCTCTGAGATGCATCTACATTCAATTGATGTAAGTTCTGCCAGGCGACCTCTATCTGACCCTCGATCCTTCTCCAGTTACTGATAACTACAGTGACCCGGCCTCTGTCTGGCTAGAGGCCCAGTCTCATCCACAGGAGGTCATTCTCTTCTGCATCCTCCGGCCTATCCTCCGGGTCTGGGGGATCTACATTAGGATCCCCTGTCTGGGGGTCAACTCCTCCTGGCTCTCTCCTATTCCGATCATTCCCTCCTTCATCTACAGGTCTCCCAGGCACACCAGCAGCAGGCAGGACCCGAACTACATCTCCATGGTCCTCATGGTCGCCACCCCCTAGGGGTAGGGTGGTCGTAATCTTCATTATAGCTTTTAGTAACACTTTGCAGTATTGTTAATTACTTAGCTATTATCTTGTCTAGCTTTACAGAGCTGCCTTATTTAGTTTTGCGAAGCTAGTAACTTTGTGGAGCTATCAACTCTGCTGAACTATTAATGTTGCAGAGCTGTTAGCTTTGTGGAGCTATTAACTCTGCGGAGCTATTAATTCTGCGGAGCTATGTATTTAGTTTAGCTATGCAGAATTATATGTATCCTTGCTTGTATATATTAATATAAATATCTATAACTAGCTATTGAAAGTTGAATATATTTATCAGGCTATATTATATTAATAGTCTGAGTTATGAATCAATATAAACTTGGGAGCTGCACTTAACCTAAGGTAGAAGATTATATTTGTATATAAGTCTTTCTACTTGTAAGGTTCTTTGTGCACTGCCCTCTTTTGTTTGGATTTGTTTCAAGAGCGGCGAGTATTATCAATCCGTTTTAGATTTACAACACAAATATAGGCAACTTGATTTTGATGTTCAAATTATGAGTGCAGTCTTCATGCTAGATAGTATTAATAAATGGTATTAACCCATTAGTGATGAGACGGTCAATTTTGACCGGGTAAGGTTTATATTTTTAGCGCCTTCATTTTTATACCAAATGTTGTCCTGTTTCATTCCAGCCCTTCCTTTAGATATGCCGAGTTTCGCCTATAGGTTGCAGGCATGTTACAGGTCGATAGGGTGATAGAGCAGCTAGCAACAATTGGGAGAGATTCAAATTCAGGAACCTCAACAGATATAAATCTGTGAAAAATTGTTTTCGAAATTTTTTTATTTCTATGAAAAGTTTGCAGTTGATGTTAGTTCTATGCTAATGCTACGTTCAGTGTAAAAAGTTTATGTTTACTGCTATTTTTAGCCTTTTTTTCTGCCCGGTCAAAATTGCCCGTCTAAGACCAGGTCAATTTTGATCACTCGGTCAAAATGCCGATTCTTAGGAACACACTGTGCAGTATACACCCTGCCCCAATATAGTATATTTACACACACACCCTCCTTCCTGTATAGTATATATATACACCCCACCCCCTGTATGGTATATATATACACCCCCTTTGTATCATATCTAATTTTGTCCGAGCCGAGACGGACAAAATTGACCGTTTCCTGCTGCAGACGGTCAAAATTGACCGGGCAGTCAATTTTGACTGATGCTGAGACGGACAAAATGTGCCGGGTTTTGTATCTCCACAACCCTTCCTTGAAAAAACTTGAAACTTTAGATCTACTCTATGGACAGTATAACGAGTTAACTCTGTGAATTTCAGCAAGATCAGAAACAATTATTTGTCTCGTCACTAATGGGTTAATGATTAAAAAAAAAATTTGTTTATATTTAAGAATTTCATTACTTACATCATTGGGCTTTGCACACATTATAAAACTAACTTGTTTTGGCGTTATCTTGTTTGTTCTGTTGAAAGCTATTAAAACTTCAATTCCAATTTTAAATTTTTACACACTGCTCTTAAAAAAGCTGGTGGGTCTGAATCTTTGTATAACTTAGGTACCACAACCCCCCTCCCCCTCTTAGAAAAAGGCCTGAGAGAATAGGTATATGGTTGAAATGCATGTTCATAGCTCAAATTTTCAATGCCTGCTAAGATAAACACCCCCCCCCCCCAAGCTTGTTCAGGGTTAAAGGACTGAGTACATAATTTTAAGTAACCCATAATGTAGATAGTGGCAGGTCAGATTTACATCCAAGCCTTTAAAAGCTATGTTTGATCAAGCATTAATGATGCATAACCATGACTAATGGATAATTCTTATAATATGGATTAATTTCAAATAAGAGCTATAAAAGTGACTAGTTTTGGAGGTGAGCTCAGAGAGGGGGGCAGATTGGGGGCTCAGCCCTCACCCAAGGATCAGTAAACTGACATTTGGTTACCAGGGGTATTATAGGCTCAAATTGGTACTGAATTAAAATTTTTTTAAGAACTTTCCTAACACAGGCTTGTGGATGAACCAGTGGCAGATCTTTTCCTGTTTAAACAACAAATTTTTACGACTTAATAAATTATTTATAAGATATATAGAAGGTTACCCACAAAGGAAGGAAGAAACTTTAATGATAACCTAATTCTCAATAAGAAGATCTGATTTGATTTGGTTGTCTATCTTAGATAAATTCTTTCATTTCTGTACTAAATTTTTGGCTAAGAAAGAACATAAGGTTCTGCTAAGGGGAAAATATTTCTTTTTTTTGAACCCATTTTCAAGTGGTTTTAATCGCCTTTCAGGAAACCCAAGACAAAACTGTACCTTATTTTTTTGCATTGAAAACAATATTTTTGTAAAAAATTCTTTAAATTAATTTTTTCTCAAAAGTCAATAATGTTTAAGATAATAGTATGAGAAATAATGGTGGGAGAACAAAATAAGGGGCCAGAAAATATGCAGGTTTTCCTAATATTTCTCTCACTCCTGTGCCGGTATACTCTGAAGCACTCCAAACTGTAATAATTATATTTTAATGGAGGTATCTAATTAGAAACTCAGTAAAACTACATATATAAGTTGATGAGTTTTAAGTGAATTGCTTTTTAACCCTTTAGACTGAGTTCTTTTATTTCAAAAGGATTTTTATTTTAGTTTGAACCCTGCAGACTTTGGTCAAAAGTTCTGGAGTGGTTTTTGATTCTTTAGACTGAGTTTATGAGTTTAAAAGAGCAATTCTTATTTTAACCTTTTAGACTGTGTCAATGAATTTAAAAGAAAATATTTATTGTTAATCCTTCAAACTAAGTTTTTTTCCTCAGGAGAACTTAAGTAGATACTTTTATTTCCAGATTTACAAGTTTTGATTTCTTTAATGTTTAAGATTATGTAAGAAAGCTATTCCAAACAATAAAGTAGGACCCAAAATACTGTTGAATTGGATGACAAAATTTTAGCACACAGGTTGTAGCACAATTTGCACCTTTACATTGCTGTTGTTCCATCAAAAATAATGAATCATGGGAATGTTCTGAGAGCTTTCTGTAAAAACTTTAAGATGATTGAATTGACTTTTATTGTAAAAGTTTAGCATCCAGGCAAAAGCTTTGTTCTCAAGCTAGTTTAATATAGTTAAATTTAAATATTAAAATTTAGAAGTTGAAAGGACTGTTTCCATAATCTTTACCTTTATTCGATATATATAGGATGATCAGGGAAGACAGAATTAAAACCAATGTCTTAAAATTAAAAATCAAATTATTCTTATTAATATTTTTATTATTATTAATATTATTATTATTATTACTTTTATTATTCTTATCAATATCACATTATTATTATTATCATTTATTTCAAATTTTGCTCTAAATCACTGATCAAATACTGTTCTAAAGGATAAGGCACTTCAATTCCTTGTTCTCCTGGTGGTGCTGGGTCTGAGGTATATTCTCTTTTCTGAATCTATGTTCTGGATCAGGTGCTACGAGACTATGAATATACTCCTCTAACAAGTACATAGAACAAAAATATTACAGTGTTCCATTAGAGCTCCTATATTTCAATCTGTTCTATATCTACATGATTTACATGTAGTTGATTTAAATCGCCGATATCAAGTAAACACAATATTATAATATCTAAAACTAAACTTTTTCAATATGGCTGGAAAAGGATCTGGTAAGAAAACAGGAGGTAAAACTGGTTCTCCTGCTAAACCTCTAACACTTAAGGATCCTGTATCATGTATTGTGAAATGTAGCTACTCTGTGTGATAGTCTAAACCAGCTTAAGATCAGCCTAGGTCAAACTCCAGACCAGCAACAGAAACCAGACAGTGTGAATACAAGGGAACAGGTAGATACAAGAGAAGTCATCTCTTGTGGGAGACAGGTCGTCATACTTTCCGCCTCAATGTCTGCAGCTTCGGTCCTTGAAGATATCAGCTGATAAACCCATGTGATCTAAAAAACTCGCCATTTTAATATATATGAGCAAAGCTCTTTTCTGTTATACTTATACAAAAATATAGTAGTTGCTTTTCAGTCTTTGTTAGTTATTTAGTCGACGCTAAACTCTAACCTTATCTCTGCTGTTCAAGCTATTACAAGCAATGTAAGCAAGATTAAATCTACTCAAGAAGAACAGGAAAGCAAGATTAGATGGCAAGGGGATGAGATTGACGAAATTAGACAACAAGGTTTCAAGGGTAATGTGATAGTTTCTAGCTTACTTAATCAAAATTACCATGCAATCTCATATTATCAGTCTAGTACAGGAGAAATATGACATTAAAATTCCTGTATCAGATATTCAGGCTTGCCTTTGCCTTCCAAACAAGTCTGATCTCCTAAAAATCTGGAATAGAAAGGAAGGGTCAGCTTGGGAAAATCTAGTTCAGAAGATTAGATCGCCAGAAAACAGCTCTTACAATTCTGATGAGAAGGGGCATATCAAACTGAAGATCAAGAAAGATTCTAATGATAAGGCCAGGTACATATATATCTCTAATATTTCTTAGGATATACCGATCACCTTTTCTAAAGAGGAGCTGGGAAAACTTTGTGTTTAAAGTTTCAGTTTTTCTTTAAAAATATTAATGTTGTTCATAATTCTTTGCTCATCAAGATTATCCCTTATATACATATTCAACAAGTCTGTAATCCTACATTTATAGTTAACAATTTCAGCAATCACTTTATTTACTATGTTATTATTTGTTTATTATTTTCTATTTGTATTTTTTTATATTTTTACAATCACTCTATCTTGAGTTTCCATTCCCTAATTCTCTTTTTTTACTTCCTTCTTTCCTCCCTTTTCTTTTAGTTGAAATGTTCTTCAGGGGGTTTGGAGATGCATGGGTTGGAATTAGTTAAATGGTTCAATGAAGGTCGGGTGGAACAGCACACAAGAAAGTTTTATAACAAATATGAATAAGACTTGTGGGATGCATGGGGATATGTATCAACATCTTAAAAGTAGCTTAAATGATGTCGAATTATGGAATAACTTGGATAAGCAGGAAAATTTAATGATATTGGTGAATTTTAAACCAAGTTTAGAAATAATTCAGATAATTTCTCTGTTTTCTTTTAATATTCGTTCTAGACTGGTAATTTGAATGAATTTCAAGATTTCATGAGTAAGTTAAATCATCAAGATATTAAATTCCATGTAGTTTCCATTCAGGAAACTTTGTGACATCCCAATTCATTTAAACACAGATATACCTGGTTACTAGCCTTTAATATTTAAAACAAGAAAATCTTCAAAGTAAAATAGAAAAAATATTGGGGAAGGAGTTGGATGTTGGGTTAGAGACATTTACGAACATGAGACCATAGATAAAATATCATACTTTGAAGTTAAACTTTTTGAGTCACTCTTTATCAAAATAAAAACTGGATAAAAAGATTTCAAAATAATAGAAAATATTTATCGGCCTCCAGGATAAAATATTACTGTTTTCTTAGATAAATTACAAGAAATTCTAAACATTATTTCTTCTAATCAATTATTATCTAAAGCTAAGAAGTAATATTGAAGGCTGATTTTAACCCTATCTCTGCTGGGGCACTTGAAAACCAGGATATGCTGGGGGGAGGGTCAATTTGACCCCCCCCCTCTGCTTAATTTTGGTCAACTTCATCTTATCACACTTACTTCTAAAGTTACTGGTCACTCATTCTCTTTTTTTAGATCATATTTCATCAAATACTAATGACAAATTTATTGAGAGCGGGTTAGTTTACTCATCTATTTCTGATCATTATCCTGTTTTTTGCATAAAAATGTTAAAACCGTTAAATCTCCATTTCAAGCTAAATATAAACGTAAAATAAATGAGAATACAATTGCAATCTTTAAAGATAATTTGAATAATTTTGACTGGTCCTCTGCAAACAATCCATCTATAGCATTCAATACTTTAGAAAACACTTTATCAGAATGTTTCAGAAAATCATTCCCTCTTGCTAAAGCTAAATTATCAAAACAATAATCTCCAGTTGAACCTTGGATAACAGTCAATATATAAGTTTCAAGAAAAAATTAAAATAAATTATAATCTTACAGTATTAAAAATCCAACTCCTGATAACATCAACAGCAATAAGAATTTTAAAAGAGTTTATAAGATCAGTTTACAGTAAAAATATAAAACAAACCTGGAATGTGCTTAAAAAAGTTTTGAAATCAAATATCTCAAAGACAGAAATACTTGATTTATTTGAGAGCGATGGTAAGGAATTTTCTGGATTAAATGAAATAACTAAAGGTTTTACTGATTTCTTTGTAAATGTTGGTCCTAAACTCGCATCATCTATTCCTTCTACAAATACATTTATTTCAGAATATCTATCTAATCCTATTGAGCAAAACTTCATTTTTGCAACTGTGACTCCAGAAACTATATTTGAAACACTTTCATTGCTAAAATGTAAAATAAGCTGGGGCAAAGATAATATTTCTACAAAGTTATTGAAGGATGTCATGCCAAGTGTAATTTCTGCAGTTCTTTATTTATTCAATTTATCTTTAAAAACAGGATTTTTACCTGATAGCTTAAAGTGTGCAAAAGTATTACCAATCTTTAAATCAGGTGCCACATGTGATTTCACAAATTATCGACCCATCAGTTTACTTTCTTCATTTTCAAAGTTATTGGAAAAGCTGGTTTCTCGTCAAATGTTCAGATTTGTAGATAAATATAATATCTCATATTCTCACCAATATGGATTATTTAGTCTCAAACATGCCACCTCACATTCACTTTTATAATGCTTAAACAAAAATTTACCAAGATTTGATAAAGGATGAATCGAATAAATGTTGGGAGTATTATTATATCTAAAAAAGCCTTTGATACTGTTGATTTTGATATACTTATAGGAAAGCTGAATCAATATGATTATAGAGGTATCACCAACAAATGGTTTAGAAATTATTTAACTAACAGAACACAATATGTAAATTTAGGAGAATTTGAGTCATCTCTTAAAAAGATCTTATGTGGTGTACCTAAAGGGTCGGTTTTAGGGCCAATACTCTTTTTACTGTATATAAATGACCTTCCTAATTGTGCATCTCTTTTACTTCTCTTTTTGCTGATGATACAGGTTTCCTTAAATCCTCCAGTAATCTACATCAACTTTTTTCATCTGCTAATGTAGCGCTCTCTAAAGCAGCATGTTGGTTTCAAGCAAACAAACTTACTCTTAATGTTTCTAAAACTAAATTTATTTTTTTTTAGAAAAAAAAATATGCCTTTTTGATGATTAACAATACAAATTAATGATTGGGGAAAAGACTATTAAAAGAATAGGGTTAGGTTGTAAAGAAAAAATGTAGGAGTTAGATTTGATGAGTTTCTATAATGGGATTTTCAATTAGACCACATATGTATGAAAAGGATATGTAAAACATATCCTTCCTTTGAGAAATAGAAAATTAATTATTAAAAGTCAACTAGAGTATGGTATTATATCTTGGGGTCCGTCAGTAAATAGCAATTTAGGTAAATTATCTACAGAAAAAAGCTATATGAGTTCTAGCAGATAAAGGTTATGCTGCACACTCAGATCCACTTTTTCTGAAACTTGAAATTCTAAAAATATAAGACATGATCAAGTTTAATTCTGCTGCTTTTATGTTTAAATATATGATTGGCAAACTTCCATTATCTTTTAATGGAGTGTTTACAGCATTAGCAGAACCAAATAGAACAAAAAATTATAAATTAGAATTAGTTACCAATAAAAAAGTTTTAGAACAAGTCTTAAAATAAGTGTTCTTGAAGAATATAGTAATTTTTGTTGTAAAAATCGAAATTGATTTTCTTGCTAAATCTTAATTCTATCCCCTTTCCCCTGCTATTATAACAAACCAAAATAAAACAAAACATTATAAACTTTGAGTGCTGGGTTTTCCCTCCCTCACTGCGATCCTATCTTCTTCTTTTCCTCTCTATACCTTTCCTCTATCTAATAAATATCTCTATCTAAATGTCTCTCATTCAAAACAACCAACAATAGTTAGAGAGGCCCTGGCTAAGTTAAAATGTAAAAATTGTTGAATTGTAATTTTTTTAAATTAAATATTTAGTCAAATATTTATCTATCTATCTATCTATCTATCTATCATTATTCTTATTATTATCATTATTATTATTATTATTATTATTATTATTATTATTATTTATAATCAGAAGACAACTTCATGGATAATTTGATTTATTTTCCTTGAGAGAGTTTTTACTTAAAAACGCAAATCTAAACATTTTCTCTGATAAATCTATATGGACTGAACATTATTTTGTTGATATGCATGTTTAAAAGATATAACAAGTGTTTATAACAATATTTGATCACGTCAATTGAGAGTCAATTTAGTGTTATATTGAAATCCTTTCAATCATAAATTATTATAACATCATTTTTAAATCTTTCCTGACGAAAGGTCTTAGATATTTCAAACCATCAATGAAAATTTAAAGGTTAAAATGTTAAATCAGGTTGCAAAGATATGTGTATTAATAAATTTGATTTTGTCGTACAACAATGTACCAAATTACATGCGAGTATTTCGGAAACCTTAAAAGTTATTTGCTTTTTGACGAACATATTTTTATGGGTTTTACAGAAATATAAAACAAGAAAATGCAAATAAAAAATGTAATTTGTTAACAAATTAAAACAGAGTTTATGGAAAACCTTAAAAGATATTAGCTTTTTCTGGGTTTCACAGAATACTTCAAGTTATGGCCAGAAAAGCCAAAATAACTACTAAGCCAATTATTTCTTCAGCATGTTTTTGTTTGTTTTACTTTAGTGTGTGAAGAAAATTTCTCATCTCTGAAGAAATTTTTTATTCTGATAGTAAAATTGAGTTTAGTAAAAGAAGAGTCTAGATTATCTAAAACATTCAAGAATACTATTTAGATGTCCTAACCTATTGGAAATATACAGTTTTGATTTAAGTGATTTAAAAATATTTTTGAAAATATTTTTGATTATTCATAAAAAATGCTGATATAGAAAAACATTTTATTTGATCATTTTTTAATTAATATTTGTAAAATTTTCTTTTTTTCCAATTTCCAAAAGATTTTTAATCCTATTCTTAAAATTTTTCTTTTGCATACAGACAAACATATAGACAGATAGACAGAGAGACCAACAGACAGATAGATTAATAGACAGACAGATAGACAGACAGATAGACAGACATATAGACAGACAGATAGACAGAAAGATAGACAGAAAGATAGACAGACAGATAGACAGACAGATAGACAGACAGATAGACAGACAGATAGACAGANAGACAGATAGACAGATAGATAGACAAACAGATAGACAGACAGATAGACAGACAGATAGACAGACAGATAGACAGAAAGACAACCAGATAGACAGATAGGCATACAAATAGCCAGACAGATAGACACACAGATAGCCAGACAGATAGACACACAGATAGACAGACAGATAGACAGACATATAGACAGACCAATAGACACACAGATAGCTAGACAGAAAGAAAGACAGACAGACAGATAATATTTGAATACAAAATTAGCATCTAAAGTTTCCAGTGAAAGAAAACTTTGGCAAAAAAATGTAAAATTTGTAAAAAATTATCTTATGTATTTTGCAATTTAAAAAAAAATACTGTGGTAATTATGTATATATAAGAAGGTTGCACAGATGCTAAATGTCTGTTTGCATGTGTATGATCTGGCAATAATTGTTGGTCCAAAATATGAAAGATGCCAATTATGCTTTAGAAATTATGTTTATATCATGTATTTAGAAGATTGTACAGATGCTAAACCTTATTGTTTGCATGCATAAGATCTAGTTCTAAATTATTAACCAGATAATAATTTTGCTGAAAATCCGCAAAAATAGTTAAAAATCTTTCCCAGAAATTCACCAGAATTTCTGGGAATCTTTAAACTTTCACTGGAAAATCCAGCAGAAATTTAGACAGAATTTGGAGATTTTCTTGAGAATTTACGAAGAAAGATTCTCCTAAGAGAAATTTGCAGGACTCAAACAAAACATTCACAGGGGATTTGCCAGGGCGGGAGAATTTGTTGTCAACATTTCCACACAGAATTTCTTGAGACCAATTCCAGGAAATTTCTTCAGAACCAATTACTGGGAATTTCTTGGAAACCATTTCCAAGGTTTTCTTAAGAATTCCTCAGACATATCTAGAGATATTCTCAGAATATATTAAGTAGATTCACTAACCAGGCTACTTTTTAGACCAAATACCAGTGATCATCATAACAACTATTTATATTACCAATCCTACTCTTTCTGTATAGTCTAAATTCACTTTTCAAAACTGCAATTTGTGAGGTTTTGTGATTTTTTTTGTTCTGCTCGATGTAAATTTTTTCAAAAATTTTAATGGAATGGTCCTAAATCCCTGGCGATAGCTCTAATTCCCAGAAATTTTTCACTGATAATTATGGTGAAAAAAAAAATTAAAAAATTAAATGGAAATGTCATTTTTTTAAGTTTTAGTTTGAACATATTTTGATATTGTCTTTGATACTTTCTCAAGCTGAACCGAGGGTTTCTACTCTTTCAACTCCGCACACGGGCTGCTATAGGATCTATTTTCTTCTTAGTCGCCATCTTTCTATGCATTGTGAAAATTTGTAATTGTATATTTGTGTGCAAAAGTGCGAATATAGGGACAAATTGTCTGTTTGTTATCGCTTAGTGCTGTAGTGACCCAACAAACAAAACACAGGTTTTCAACGGTATTAGCATGATGGAGAACTGCTTGATAATTCACTTGATTAATTCACGTACCCTCCTTGTGTTATACTCGTGGTAAATCTTCTTTTCACAATCTTGAAGATTCCTCCTGTGTACAGCACGGGTAAAAAACGCGAAAATATTCTTTGAAAATTCTCGTTGTTATTTCACATGTTGTACACGTAGCAAAATAAACCAGTGCAAAATCTTTCATATTCCTATCGTGTTAAGCTCGAGTAATGCATTGCCAGAATTTTTAGATATTAATTCTCATAATTATCACGTGTAATATATTTGAGATAATTCTACAGTTCAATTCTTGTAGTTTTTTCACATGTTCTGCTCGTAGAAAAGTGTTGCGCAATGTTAGAGAATTGCTATCTAATCCTGATAATAAATAAATGACAAGGTTAAGTAACGTAAATCTTTATTAATAAATACAATCTTCTTAGAAAGGGTTCCGTTCAGTTCACAGATTGATAACAGCACAGCGGTTTCAAAAACTAAATAAACATAATGTTAGTGTATATAGCAAATTTGAGCAATAACTTTGCTATATTAGCAATGTTGGCAGTTAAGCAATACATGCTTAACCCAACGCAGGGTTAGACTCGTGTATTAGTAATGATGGCTAACCTAAGATTAGACTTCACTTATTGTTTATCAATGAAAGCAATAAATGTGCTTTTTGCTTAGCTTCTCAGCAATTTAAGTGAAAAGTATCTCTTTAGGACTCTGTAGACTATTTGTATTCAGTCTAAATAAATGTTAGGGAATTCTAATTCATGACAATCACCCTATTATCCCATGAACTATCAGTCATGGACTTAATTGCTATTAAATAGCAATAATTGTGTGTTTTCCAATTACACACTAAATCAGCAATTAAACTTAGTTTATGGCAATAAGTTTGCTTTTACTTTATTGGAGCAATAATCTTGCCCAATAAAACGGTTAATAGGAACTAGTCCGAACTGAGCAATTTAACTCTATTTTGCTTCTATTACAGCAATCAGTTGCATTAAATGCATTACTTGGCAGAGAATAAAAAGTTTATCCTTACTTGTTTCGCTGATCGGGGTTGAGCAGAGCTAGGGTAGATCCAGCAGGGTCTTGAGCAATAAGTTTGCTTAAGGAGAGCAATAAGTTTGCTTGAGGATACTGCTGAACCAATATAAACCACAATGAACAACACATTAACATATTTAAACATTACTTAGACTTGAAATATCACTTTATGATTAGAAAAGTTTAAAGTTTACAAGTTCAAGATGTTTAATGTAAAAGATATAAACTAAAATGTTTAGTTTCTAAACGTTTTGTAATAATTATATACTTTTACTCAGAATATTTTATAATATATTTTATATATCAGAAATCAATTATGTATTCCCCCCCATTTTCGGGGGGTTTTTAAAAATGTAATTAAAGTAGATGGGAGGAAAATAACTTTCCCATGTAAAAATCCAGTGTTCATCTGGTGAAATAAACTCAAGTTTTCGCCGTGTAAAAACTCGGTCCTAGACCCGTGATCAAACAGTCGACAATCACCTCAACAACACGTGAATTATCACGGGATAATGACGGGTCACTCGTGTGAAATAAACCAAATAATCTTGAGTTCTTCACGGGTTTTTGTTTGTTGGAGAAGTCGATCAGACCATTAAAAAGTTTTTAAAACCATCATAGGGGAAACTTCTATATATAGTGATTTTAGCCTCCCACCCTATAAAAAATGTACATGGAAATAATTCATCATGTGGTTGCAACCCCATGCCCAATAGGGTGTCCTAGCTGCGTCACTTGGCTCAGAAATTGTCTGTAATTTACCTAATCCTGAAATACCTCAAAATAAATATTATCCTATTGATTCATTACATTAGTCATGAATAAAATTTATTGGGGGTAATTTCCTAGATAATGATTTTTGGACCCCTCCCCCCGGGCCCCCCCTTCCTATCAATTTTGTACAACATGGATCTTACATGTTAGACATTGATATAATTGACCATGTGACAAGCAGCGCTCGGCCTCCTAGCCTGTCATATCCACTGCGCTCGGCCAAGAAAGTGTCTTTAACTAACTAAACCGGTGGTTGCAGCGCTCTGCCCAGAAAGTGTCCTAAGCTATACCTAACCCATAAATAAAAACTAATTTGGTCATGTACCAAATTGATAGGAGGGGTGGCCGGGGGCAGGGTCCAAAAATCATTCTCTAGGACGGATCCGATAGGGGGAAGGGGGAGGGGGTGCAAAAATCATTCTCTTTGGTTTGATCCATAGTTAGAATAAGTTAATCTAGAATATGATAAAAAATTCAATGCAACAACTCATACGATAAATATTCTGAGAGACAGTTTTATAGTTTATTTTACTTTATACAAACATTATGAAAGAAAAATACTATACGATCGATATGCAAAACTAATAGCAGTCAATGGTGGAAGAAAGATTAGGTTATTTCTCCACCTCGCATCAAAAGGGTTCATGGTGAACTGCCCTCGCTCCACCCTGTTTGGATTACAACCCTAGCTTTCCCCAGTCTATCAGACCGATACCCAATTTACTAATCTCTCACTTGGGTTATAAATAACTTCAGCTTGGCTTGATCCAAACTTTCAAGTAAACAACAAAATTAACCATCATTATTATATGTATTTACAGTAGGGGTAGTACCCCTAGATAACTATGATCGCAACGATCTTAAGATCTTTTGAAGTGCTGATCGTAAAAGATCAACAAAAATCACAACATCGTTACATCCCTTCCTTGATCTTTTATGATCAGCGACTTTGTTGATCACTTTCTCACAATAAGATGAGACATTTGCACTCCTTAAGCGTCTTTTATCAGTCTTTTTCTGTGGTGTAAAGTTCAGCAGAGAACTAACTCTACTCTACACCCGAGCTATTATAACCGGTCTTGCTGAGTCGAAAAAGTGTCTCAACTACCCAGCTAATGAAAGTCAGAGCTGCAACTGCTCCGGCCCCCACCATAGCTAGGCTGAGGATATACAAGGTTGGAGCTAAGGTTTTTGTTACGAAATAACCATAGCCTCCCTGCAGACTCCACTCTGTTTCCTACTCTGTGAACCTCTGTTCACTGGAGCCTTGTGTTCTGTCTAGGGCTAGCTCTGGGAGGATGTCCTTTGCGCTGGCCTACCCTACTGGGACTGCCAGCATGCCTACAAAGAGCAACTGGCTTACTTCTGTACTTCTCCTTCTCTGGTACTGATCCGCCTGTTCTCGCTCCTCACCATCAGGTTAACCAGCTTCCCCAAACTCTTGTCTTTCTTCATCTGAACAAAGATATCATTATTATGGTTAATCATGTAAATTGCAGGTGAACGTAACACTCCTGCCCTCAGGGAAAATTTTGAAGCAAAGAGATTCTTTTCAACAATAGTGTTAAACAAGTTTGGAAAAATGAAAACATTCCCACTGACTTGCCAAGGTTCTTCAACTAAATATACCCATGCCCCTTGCCCAGGGTGGAGTGTTACAGAATTTTTCACTTTTGCTAATTTTGAGTTTTGACCTGAAATTGTATTACTTCCTTCCTTAACTTTTTGACTACTCCTATCTGCTTCATTTTCTGTATCACTCCAACTACTCTCATCTGCTTCCTACACATAACTACTCCCATCTGCTACTTTATACCTAGTCTTGATACTATTCCTTGCACTACTGCTATTTTTAATACTCCCTGTCTGCATCCTTTCCAGGGATGCAGCCCTTGTTCTTGTGGATCCGGAACTCTTTCTTGATTTGCTCCTTCTTCTCAATGGTGCTGTAGGTTCCGGCCTCTGAGCCCAGCTCTCCTTGAGCACTGCCTTCAGTGTTTTCAGAGATGGTGCCATAGATGATTTTGCTCCTCTCTTGGATTTGGGGGCTTCTGGCAACTTGAACACCACGCTGTATCTGTCTTTAGGAATTGATCTCCTGCTGGACCTTCTTCCGATTACTTCAGTAGTGCTGCTGCCATATAACGGCCTTGACTCTTCAACAGTATCTACAGGCCTCGTTGCTTGAGTAGTTCTGTGTGGGGGGTATTTATTACATCTCCCTCTCTTCTCTGGTTTCCTGTCCTTCTTGTCCTCTGGCAGGGGTATTTATTTCCATAGTCTCAATATCCCCCTCTCCTGATTTGTCATGGTTTTCATCCTCTGGTCTTTTCGGTTCTGGAGTTTTTTTCAGGTTCTGGCTCCGGGATATGGTTGGCTGCCGACCCTATAACCACATCATCTTCTGTTGGTGAGTCTTGTAGCATCTCATTAAGCAGCTCATCTTCTATGTTTTCTACTTGGAAGTGATTGTCAAATAATTCATCGGGGCTGCTACCACGGGACCGAGCTGAGCCAGGTGATTGGACAAACGACTGGAAAGGGTCATTTTTACTGTCTTCTGAACTTGCTGCAATGCTCGAACTTGACAAGTTTGAGGAATTATAAGGGGCTCTGATGAGATGCTGCTGCGGTGATCCCTCCCCTGGTGATGAATTTCAGAATTCAGAGAATGAAATTCATCAATAAGTTCAGCATCGAGTGTTCTTACTGGAAGATCAAACTCTGATAACTGTTCTGCTAAATCCTTTACTGCTTCAGCTGGTAGTCTGGGAAGTTTGAATAGTGGATTAACATCTTTTTGTCCCATCCTCTTGGCTAATCTTATGTTGGATCAGTGTGCAACGTAGGTCCGGGGATTCTTCACTTCATATTCCTGTACTTCTACCATCGCATCGTTGATGATTTTTGTAACTATTACCAGACCCGACCAGCTGAGCTGCAGCTTTCGGGAGTTGCCTTGTGGTGGGAGGGTGGGCACAGTATACTTTGTCACCTACACAGACGTCATCTTGCGGCTTCTCGTAAGATCGAAACTGTCTCCTTATCCTAACATCATCTGAAGCTCTCATGAGATCAAGGATGTAATCTAATTGTTCTTCAACTGAGTGGGGGGAGGGGTTATTATTTTGAATGAATTTTGGCAATAAAGACAAATGAGGGATGTTCAATTCTCTTCTGAAAAAATTCTAGCAGGGGAGAAGTTAGTGGAATAATGTTGGGTTGCATTGTAAGCCAATATTAATTTTGGGAGGCTTATTTCCCAGTCATTTCCCCATTTGCCTTTTTTGCTTTCAAAAGTGCCCACAAAGTTCTGTGAAATCTTTCAACAGGAATAAATTGATGATTGTGACTAAAGCCAATCTTAATATTTATATCTAAAGCTATAAGAAGGTTTTTTCGCACGGCGTTATCAAATTCTTTTCCTTGATCCATCCTAATTGTTGCAGGTGCTCTGTACAGGCTAATCCAGGCGGTTATAATCACGTTCACAACTGACCAAGCTGAATTGTCTGGCAGAGGCACTGCTGCAAGAAATCTAGAAAATTGGTCTAGAATTGATAAAATGTATTTGTTTTTATTATTTGATAGAGTTATGGGACCTACCAGATCTATGCATACAACTTCGTTTACATTTATACTCCGGCTGTCATACGGGTCAACCTGCTTTAGGTTTACCTCTTCTCTGTGTAAACATCCAGGGCACTCAGTCACGAAGACTGCTGTATCTGCTCTCCACCCGGCCCAAAAAAAATGTTCATTTACCTGTTGTGTAGTGCGTAGTACTCCCCAGTGTTCACGTATATGCACAGTGAGCAGGGCTTGGTACCTGTGTGAGGGTGGGATGAAAATTCTCATCCGAGGATTTGAGTCAAACTCATTTTTAATGAGGTATACTAACCTGGTAGAGTTTGTTGTACTTGCGTCAGTTAGTTTGAGTTGTTTTCTTACATTGTACAGTTGCAGTACATCCTCATGTACTGTGTTCAAAACAGAGGTATCAATTTAGTTTTCTTCAATTTTACCTGTTTTCATGTCGAACCAGGATTTTACCATTTGAAGTGCACTGTCTTCATGTTGTGCTTTCTCTAAGTCCATTTGGTCTATCAGAATTTTACCTTTAAAAGTTCCTATCAAGGAGGGCTTGAGCAATTATTAATTTTCGACAAGTTGGACTGCTGCAATTCAATTAAATTCGGCTTTTCACTAATTTTTAATTGCTTCCAGGGCAAGGGGAATATGTCCTGGTTACCTTGTGTTATGGAGTCTGTGTCGGAGGGGGGGGGGGGGGGGTTATCCATGTGAGTTACTCTGGAGATCAAATCAGCATTAATATTTGTTTTACCTGCTCAATGCATTACTTTAAAGTCAAATTGTTGTATAAAATCTATCCATTGCCTGATAGTCCAACCCGAATCCTTCATCGTCGACCAATGAAGCACTGTGGTGGAGTCCGTCACGACAATGAACTGATTCAACCTTAACAGTAAAGCTTAAAGTTCCCCTTTTGGACTATGATAATTGCTTTCGTAATTTCTGCATTTTCTCCCTTTAACCTTTCAATATTATCTTGTTCCTGGGATGAAACTGCACCAACCAAGGCTAAGTTATAATTAACCCATTCGTGACGGGACGGTCAATTTTGACCGGGTAAGGTTTTTAATTAATAAATATTTTTTTCAGGATTTTTGATTCTATCTTTCATTATTCTTATTATTGTCTTATTTTGTAGTTTTGACTAATATGAATATATGTGTTTTCAATAAAGAAAAGTGGAGATACGGAACCCGGTCAATATTGACCTGGTCCGAGACGGTCAAAATTGACCGGGCGGTCAATTTTGACCTGGTCCGAGCCGGACAAAATTGGCCGGCCTCTGTATCTCCACAACCCTTTATTGAAAAAAATTGAAACTTTAGATCTACTCTATGGACACTATAATGAGTTAACCCTGTGAATTTCAGCAAGATCAGAAAAATTTTTTTGTCTCGTCACTAATGGGTTAAAATCTGTTTAAATTTTCAGGATAGAAATCTGACTTATGACCCTGATGCGGCCATAAACCTTAGATATTATTTAAATCCCCCCCTGTTAAAATACATGTATTTTATGTCTATTTTTGTATTACCAATTTCCCTCTCCTTAAAGTTTTAAAGTTTTATTTAAATTGGTTTATATGTTATAAAAGAAGTAAACGTGCCAGGGGAAGTCTGCTTGCAAAGCTGAATTTTAAAGGAATTAAGGGAGAGGCACATCAAAACAATAATTTAAGTTAGAACAACACATTTTTTTTTTACATCAGCACAATGGACGACAATGGAGACAGATATTACAAAATTGGAGATATCGTCTTTGATCTTAATCCAGGAATGAGATAATTGAACTTAATTAAACATTTTCTTTGGCCTCTCCTCTTTACAGCCAGCGTGATTAAAATATTGTTCACTGGCTTAATGAATTAAAGTTTGTGATAAGGTAAAATAGTGATTTTAAATGTTGAAATTATCGATTTTACAGTGCTTGAGTCTTGTAAGTTCAGAAATTTATTCGCAACAATACGCTTAGTTCATAAATCCAGATTATTTGTTACCTTAATCAAACACACCCCAACACAAATCCTAGATCTGGCCATCAGGTTATTGTCACAAATTATTTGATCATTCAACACCGGGGAACACACTGTATTCTCCAGTTTATGGGTAAGTATTCTTAAAATTTTTCATAATAGTTACTTCAAAACTTGTAACCTCATTTTCGAAATTGAATTTTAAATAATTTTTTAATAAGGTCATGATTTTGGTTAATTTCAAAAAATGGCAAAAAAAAAATTTTCTAACGTTTTACCGTATTTCCATGTTTTATTGTTTTTTCTCCCTAAGTGTGAATAACAGACGATTTAAGCGTTATGAACACACTTTATAGTGTTCTGTAGAAGATAAAAAAACGGACAACATTATTGATATCACGTTTCCACAATGTTTTATTTGTTAGTTGGGAAGAAATAAAATGAATCAAAAGCAGTAGTTGTGTAATAAATCTAGCTCCTGAGATTACGCAACTCAAAGTCTGATTATAGTCTCACTGACTCTATAACTAGCCAAAACTCAAGGCTCTTAACTCTAGCTAAAACTGAAAGCTTTCCAGACTTCTCCAAGGTCCCCACATGGTATATATGATTGCGCATATCGTCCAATATTTTTTTGGATATCAAACCAATGAATTTGAGTTAAGAAATGATTTTTGTTGGAAAAGTAAACTTTTTGTAGTGTGAAATGAATGATTATGACAAACCATCTAATAATCCCGCACTTCATGGATTGTGTGTAATATGGTAAACACACACTTCCCTTGATTTTTAGTTACTCTCCACCTAAGAGTTACTTTATTATATCCTAAAAGTGAATTATTTCCCTTAGCATGGGATGAAAAGCATTACAAATAAATGTTGCAATACACACAAAGTACTTCATTTGTCATGCAGTGTTGTGGTAAGGTTCTTTAGGATTCATTTGAGACATATAAAACTATTTAAAGATCTGTAAATCCTAAGTTTGAGTGCAAATTGGACGTTTAAAACTCTTACTTTGGTGGTGGATGCATTTTCTGAATCTGTTTTTTTGAAATTATATATAACGACGACAAAGAATGTAAACAAAACTACAGTATACTAATTACTTGTTTAGGAACCGGTTCAGAAAATAAACATTAATAATATTATGGAATATAAGTAATTTTGTTTAATTATTAGTTTATACTGTCTCTTTATTCTAGTCGTTCATTATTCACAAAGATTTTCTATTGATTTTTGGAATTCTGATTAAAAAGACGACATTTGAAGAACTTTAAGAAATCTGCGAATAAATTCAAAGAAAATAAGAAATTCAATATAATGATGAAAACGAAATAATTGATTCTATCATTGATTAATTCATAAATTTATTTTGATAATTATGTTCCCAACCAACTAATTACATTACTTTAAGATTTTTACTTCATGTTCGTCATCGTTACTCAGTAATGAAAAAAAAATTCTGAAAATGAATCCAACCCCCAAAGTAGGAGTTTAAAATGTGGAATTTACGCTCAAACTTAGAATTTACAGATCTTTAAAAAGTTTAAAATGTCTCAAATGAATCTTATAGAAGCTTTCCACAACACTGCATACTCAGTTAAACTACAGCCGGCCTGTCCCTTTAACGAATAAAAGAAGTTGTTCATTGTCCTTTGAAGGATTATACGCTGTTAGGGAATATAAAAAATATAAAAAAATATAATAACTATATTTATTATTTTTCACCTGAGGTTATTTAATTAAGGACCAAATATTTTTTACTTCAGAACTTCACTAATTATTTATTTGATATTTAATAATTATTTTATTTTAATTCTAAATTTTTGGTGAGGACTGTACAAATAGTAACAGCATGGAAACTGAAAAACTAAATGTAATAATTTTAGGCATGGAAAGAATGTTGCAACCGCCTCCCGAGGGGAAAAATGATGTACAACAGAAGTGCCTCATCGCAACCAAAGGTAGTGATGTGCAACATTATTTTTCTTTTTCATTCCCCTTTTTAGGTTTTTATTCTTGTTTTTCCATTTCTTGTAACACTTTTCTTACATAATATGTCCCTTAACTGTTATTTACTAGCCTTAGTGGGCGCTTCGCGCCCATCTTCTAAATTAATTGTGAACATGTTCTCTTTGTGTACATCGTTTAACAAAACAAAAATAATTCGCGGATTTTCACGAAAAATTTCGTGGATTTTCAAAATTTTTAAAAATTTAATGACAATCGAATTTTGATTGAGACAAATATTTTCAATAATAATTTATTAACACATGTAATATGGAAGTGTGTAAATGATCGAATATTTGTTTGAAAATGCACATTAGGATGATGAACGACAATATTCCTGTAGTTTCACCATTCCTTTCCTGATTTTAAAAGTTTTAGCATTTTTATGAATAACGTCAAATTTCGTTAAACCTAACCAGCCTCATGAAATATGTTATGTTCTTTATAGATTGTACTGTACGATTAGTCATTAAAACAAAAATAGTAATATAGAACACTTTAATACATTGGATCAGCAAGATTTTTGCTTTCTGGATCTGGATCCGCAAAAATATTGTTATTTTCCTATTAAACATATAAGAAGTTTGGCTATTTTTGGATAAATTGAATATTTAATAGGTTGTTTTCCATATAAATGCGTAATACTGTCCTTTTTTTATCAATCTAGTTTAATTGAAATGAAGTATGAATTTGTTTAAACCCTTTGTATGCTGGGGTAGTCGTAAACCAGGACATGCAGTTATATAAAATTTACCCCCCCCCCCCTCCCCCCAATTAAAATTACATGTTTGATGTCAAAACTTTACAAATGATACATCATTGCAAAGATCTTATGAACTACTTTTAAAATCTACCAAAAAGTTAAAAACATCAGACCAATACTTTTTGAAATTTTTATCAAGAATTATATTGGGTGTGTCAATGTTTTCTCCCCCCCCCCCCCCCACCGCAAGGATATGGTTAACAGCTAAACTCTTCACATGTTATATTATAATAAAAAAATGCAATACTTTGTCAAGATCTTGAATGAAGATATATCTGAGTCTGTTATCGAATATTTTTTAGATTTTTGAAAAAAATTTTTGTTCACTGTTGATAAATTTATATATAAATCAAATTTGGAGCAGTAGAGGATGATCTTTACTTTATATCTTGCAAAGACATGTTCAAGAATGGCATAAGGATTACAAATTGAGTCATTTATTTTTTATTTTAAGACAAATTAAATGAATTTTAAGAGTTTAATAATGATTTGATAGTGATTGGGCTTCCCGATGAAGGGGTGGGGGTAAATTACTTTTAAATTACCAAAATATGTCACATATTTATTTGACTTCAGTAGCATTTCACAAAAATTCCAATCTGTGTGCACTACCATATAAAATGAAAATCAAATTTTGTGATAAATAAATAAAAAGAAGCGATTTCCTAAAAGTTTTCCTTTCTTGAAAAATTTCTAGTGTTTTTTACTCAGTTGGAGTGTTTTGCAATGGTTAAAATTTGGCACATGAACAAAGCAGATGTTTACTAAGTTTTTAATTCTAGAATGTTGTATTTCTGTAACAATGACTAATTTCAAGCCTTGTACAATTTATTTTTTCAAAAATCAAACTCACCCTAAAGAAAGGAAACGAGCATGTTTTTATGCTCGTTTTTGATTGTTTGTTTATTTATCATTTATTGAGAATAAAGGTAAGAAAAGAATATAAACTCCAATTATATTTTTGCATCTGGATAATAAGGTATTTATGATATAAGATTATAATTTTTGTTTTAACATATTTTAGGGAAGAGGTTGAGACGGATATCAAGAGAAAGATAATAATATCCTACCACTCTCAACTTCTCATACTCAGATGATGGTGAACAATGTAAACGTTTAGTTAAGAAACTTTTAGTAAAAGGTAACATTAGAGTGTTTTATTCTGTATGTTAATGATACTTGGTTTTACTCTTCTATATTTGACAGTTAAAGAGGATTATGAAAAGGGTTGTCTCATTGTTGGTTAAAAACTAACATTTATTTTGAAACTAGCTTAGCTACTGCGCTTGTACCTTTTGTATGTATAAAGACAATATTTTGTTAATTGGAGTTCACAAGAGGTCGGTATAGCCGCAGTGCTCAGGATCCATTTGATTTTTAACCGCACTGGAAATAAAATTGATTTTGAACCAAACCAGAATCCATGTTATTTTTCAAATTTTACTGATTTTCTTTAGGAATGCAGAATTCTTAAACTTTAGTCTTATTATTTTTTCGTTTCATTTAATACTGAAACTTGAAGAAGTATGCAGAAATCGCTAAATTTTTACTATAGCTCTTTTTTCAATATTTCTGTGTTTGGTTTGAGAGTATAAATTTTGTATTGCATTTGTTGGCTTATATGTCTGCAGTTGGATCCTCATATTTTTCCTGATCCAGGAAGCCAAAATTGTGCGGATCCAACTGATCAGAATCTTGAACCTAAGCACTCTTTATAGGTCATTAGAAGGTCAATCACTGCATTCATTGCTGGTCATGAATAGAATGGGTTTGAACATCTCAAATTTAAAGATAAAGCTATAAAACATTTTCTATTTTGAGGTCATGAAATATTGTTAAAGGTTGAGAGGAGGTCAAACACATAATTGTTGCCATTGTATTGTCTGTACTTCTTAGTTCTGTATAAATATGCCCAAATGTGGTGCACTGCGATTTGATGTGATCGGTCTGTAGAGAATTTTATTAGAAACCATTTAATAATTAAAAAAATGAATCAAATTTGGTGAATATTTCTTCTTATTTGAAAATTGTGGAATTTTCGGTTTTTCATAATTGTTTAATACAAAATTATCATTTTATGAAATTGTAATGAAGATGTTTCTGAAAAGTGTAGAATTTTATCTATAGTTTGAAAGGGAACGTAAAAAGTGGACAAGTATAAATGAAATGGATAATTACATTTATACATGAAAATTTCATTTTTTTATCTAAATATAAAGGTCAGATCAAAATCTACGATTTTAAGGACTAAATCATTATTAGTAAAATTATATTTTTGTCTTAAATAATTGTTTAATAATGCTGTTACAAGTGAATTTTCTTCAATGTCCAAAATATATTTAACATAAAATTTGAAGTTTTTACTTTCCTTTAAGAAAGCCGATACTTAGATTTACTCTTTCAATTGAGATAAATTCAATGTTGTATATTTTTTATGATTGCATTGAAAAAATTAAATTGAAGTTGAAATGAAATTTGTTTATTTTTTCAATTAATTTTCATCCAATAAAGAATTTATTAGTCTTTAAAAATAAGTTATTTTGCCAACTTCAGATGTAAAATCAATTTCAACTTTTGCATGCTTTTAAAAAAGAAGTCTTTGAATATATTATTTTTTCAGGTTCCAATGTCACGGGATATAAGTTTGGATTCTTGTTTTATCTTATGTGCAAGATAGGTAATAGAACACTTATAATTACATTTCTACATTTTAACATATTAAAAAAATAATGTTCTAGTTAATTTTTCATTTTTAAAAAGATTTTGTTTTTCGAACCCTGTATTCACTTTGAGTTGATTGAGTTGATTTCCTTCTTGAGATCTTCAATTTACTATTTTTTTTTAAATACAGCCAAAGGCCGAATTTCAAGAATTAAAATCAGCAATTAAAATCTGCTCCAAAAAAAATTGAAGTGATCTGGTTAAAATTTAGAACATGGAATACAAGTAAAATTGGACCCAACGATATTTAAATTTAAGCCGCAGCTCAAATTTTTAAAAATCTCACAGCAAGTGTGTTTCTAGGAATCTATGATGTCAAAAAAATCAGATGTTTTACAACTACAATGAGATCTATTTTTCAGGAGATAAATACAAATTAGGGTTAATAAGTAAAGCATTCCTCAACACTTATAGTTTTAACACTTTGAGTTCTCTTTATGGGTAAGAAGAGTTGTAGTTGTAAAGCTTTTTTAGACTATAAATAAGTTAAGAAAGGCTTACATATAAGTATATAATTCTTGAATTATTTAGACATGAGCTTTAGATATACATTTCAAAAGTGAACTGTTAAAATTTTGCATTAACATATTTGGTGAGTAAATAAAGTGTTATTTACGGGGCCTCGTGGAAAATTTTTCCTTTTTTGTGAAACTCTCCTGTATTGTGTTTTGTCAATACTTTTGGGAAAATTGTATTTTTTTTGATACTCCAGTGGCCCAAAAGAAAATCCTTGAATTTTTTTTTCTCTAAATCAAATGTTCAGAAAATGTGAATGCATATTATTTCTCTCTAAATCTAAAATTTTATTAAGATTGAATCACTGAATGACAGAAAATTTGCGAAATTGTAATAAGAAAATTCGGAGTTATCAGTTCTGGGCTTATTTTTAAGAAAAGTAATTTAAATTCTCGGGTTCCTTTCTTCTTAGTATATTCTAGTATTAAATATACGCTGTTCAGTTTAAACCTTAAGAAACAACAATTAACATTTTTTCGTAAAAATTATACCATAATTGCGAATTTTCTAATTACAATTTTGCAAATTTTCAGAGATTCTGTGATTCAATTTTTTGTTTAAGTTCAGATTTTGATGGTAACAATTTATTTACACATTATTATTTTTTTGAACTATTGATTTTGAGAGAGAAAAAAAGTTCGCTATATTTTTGGGGCAATAGAAGTACCCCAAAAAATTACAAATTTAAAAAAGGGATACAAAAAACACAATACAGGAAAGTTGCACAAATAAGTAACACTTTTGCACTTGGCAGTGCAAATTACACTTTTCTTACTAACCCTGTATGTTAATGTAATATGTATCTAGAGTAAATACAAAAGAAATACGTTGCAATTTTTACTTTAGGGGAAATAAAGTAAGAACTTCAGTGGTAAGCCAACAAAAAAAAATAAAATTTAGTGTTTATACACTTTGAAATTAATGGCAATTTCAACAGAAATACACCAAACTTTTTTTTAAAATGTTTTTTATTCCTTGTATTGAAACATAAAATGTAAACTTAAATATAAATAGAAAATTTAAGTTATGATTTAATAAAAAGGTTTACAATTGTGCATTGGTATTATTGTGATGCATAATTGAATGTTGGTCACAGTTTAAATCTAGATATTTCCTAGTTGGTATCTCAAAAGAAATTTATTAAATTTGTGCTTATTTTTAGCTATGAGTGTTAAATATGGGCAAAATGTTAAGTTTGCAACAAATAAAACCCTACATGAAAATATTGTGTTCGTGAAAAATGAAATGTGTGTAGACTTAAGGTTGAAAATTAGCCCTTCTAGTTGCTACTAATCTTACTTTTATCAGCTGCGTCTATAAGTAGGAAATTATTGACAACTCTACCAAAGAACGTAGCGTCCATGCAAATTCATAATGTCGGAACATTCAATAGAGATCGTGAAATAATAATTTTATTTAAAAAAATAAGAAATTCAGATACTCAATGAATACTTGTTGACACATTCCTATGAAGTTAATATTTCGTTATATTTTTTTGTTGGCTTTAAATGTCTTAATTTTCCAAAAGTCCTGAAAAAGAAATTCAAATGTCTTAGTTATACAAATCCTTGAGTAATAGATCATAAAAATTCAAACATATTATAAAACAACAACTATATTTGAAAAGTCATCGATGATAATCGGTTGTAATATCTGAATGATATCTTTGGAATTAAACTGAAACTTAAGAACCCAGTTGAACGTTGCATTTGTCTTAATTTTTATTGATGCTATGTTCTTCGGTATGGGTCATTCTTAACAATTATAGACACAACAGTTGCGATCTAAAGCGTTTTTTACACTGTAAGCCTAGACCCACTTTTTATTTCTCACGAACACTACCTTTAATCTGTTATTTTTAGTTTTTATGTCCCGTGAAATTGGAACGGGTATAACATTGGCTGGAAGTATGATCAGGTGAATATAAATTTTTCAAATTTGATTACATTACCAGAAAAAGTGTGTGAATATATTTGACATGTAAAATACTATCAATTCCTCTCTGATTGAAAAAATATCACAAGGGTGCATCACAATTTGTCTGTATTATTATAATGATTTTGTCTCTTTACTATTTCTTCTTACTACCCTTTTTTCACCTTTTTTATGTATTTAGATACTATATGTTCACACTGTCGATGGTTTAATGTAATTTTATTTATTGAAAAATTTATTTAGGATCTACAATACAAAGGAAGAGAAGGAAGTATCACCTATTAGCGTTTGTAAGTATTTAATGAACTGTCTATTATAATTTGAACGTAATTGTAGACTAACTTTTTAAGTTAAATGTTTTAAGAATTGTAAATTTTAGGGTTCCTTTGTTCTTATCCATTTTAAATGGTAGGCTACTATTCATTGTATTATTAATATCAACAAGTTATCATCAGTGCTTAGGATCCATTTAAATTTTATGCGGGTCTGGATTCAGAACCTGGATCCGCATTTTAAAAAAATGATCCGGATCCAGGTCATTTCTTTCAGATTTACTGAATTTTTTAACAAAAAATAATTTTCAAAGTTTTTGTTTTATTTCTTTCCCTTATTTTTATCCTAAAACTTGATGAACCATTCAGAAATGAGCAAATTTTATAACCTCTCTTTTTCATAAGTTCAGATTTGGGTTTTATGAGTAAAATATTTTTTTGGTAGTTTTTGGTGTATATTTTTCCATCTGGATCTGGCTCCGTGGATCCTGATCCAAGAAGCCAAAATCTTTCTGATCCAACAGATCCGGATCTGGATCCTAAGCACTGGGTATCATTGATACTAAATACAAATTTCCTCCTGTTTATTATAGTTTTAACAATTTTTTAAGATTTCTACAGCAATGCATAAAAACATACACAGAAATTGTTTCTGACAATTAAAGATGTTGGCAAAAGCAAATTTTTATATTGTTTAAATTAATTGATAACTTTTTAGTTTTGTTTTGTTTTGATGAAATTCATTTAAAATTTTTTAATTTATAAAAGATGGTTGACTTTTTATGATTATTAAATATTAAAAAAATGAGAGTGCCTCCTGTCCCACCCCCTAGTTGAATCATCTATTGATTTAGTTAAGCAATATGGTATGTAACATTTAAATGTTTTATTATAATTACCTTGGCTTGTAATGCAGGAAATCATTTTAAAAAAATAACATATAGGAATAATTATTTGAATTTATGGGGAGTAAATAATTTCCAAAGGTATAGATATTGACATATGAATTTTTAAAATGCTAAAGTTGGCAAGCTTTATGGTTAGATTTTATCATATAAAAAATAATGAATTATTGTTGAAGCAGCTATTTTACATAGTTCTATGGAAGGAGGAGGGTGGGTGGGGGTAGCCTAATGATAAAATGATTGTCGCCAAAAGTTCAAAATGTGCCTCTTGATTTGCATAAAAACGGCCTGGCCAATGAAAAACAGCCGCCTGCTTTCTTCCTGCTACATATCAAATTTAACTTGTCATCCAACATTTCTCTCCAACATGTATCTTGCTTCAGGGATGAATAACGTATATTTAAGTCATTTAAGTTTTTACTAGAAATGAATTATCTTTAATATTTTTTTCTTGAAATCATCAAATATCATTTGTAAACTTCCATACAAAGTATTATTATTTTAAGTGAGTTAAATTCAAAAATTTACTCTGAATCTTTAGGTTTGTTAAACAATATTATTCAGGTCTAACAGAATGTGGTGCTCTATCACAAATGGTTAATAGAGAGACGGTCATTGTAGATGAAATTGGTAATGCATTTTGGTTAAAATTTAAATTACTACTTTCTTGATTATTGTTGGTAAGAAGTTATCTTATGAACCAATGGTTATTAATATACCTTACTCTCTAAAATGTGATGGTTTTATATTAACTTACATTTGTGCTTAATATTGATTGACATGATTTTGTCTGAAAATGTCTTTTGTAGACAAGTGTCAATTATTGTTATTTATATTTCTTTGCTGTAAATTATTTATTTAAAATGATACATCCAATCTATTGTTATACTGAATTTTCATCTATCTAATATTTGTTTTTGTTTATGATTTTTTAACACACAGGAGGGTATTTTGGGGTGCTCATTAAAATTGTTAATATAGGAACCTTTTAATGAATTCCTATTTTTATGGTAGTTTTACAATTTATAATATTTGATTTTTGGATAAGAAATTTAATTTTTTTTTTGTTTTGCCAAAAATGTTTAACTCTAAATTAAGCTGATAGGTTAAATTTGTATTAAATATCTAATTTGGCATAGGACGTAAAGTTAAGGTGGATTGGTTGGTTAGGGGGGGGGGATGTAATGAAGAAGATTATATTTTAATTAATACCTAATTTTAAAAAGACATAATTACCCTTTAACTCCACCCCCCCCCCTACCACCATCCTCTTCCGAGAAAAATAGACACATAAACCAATGCTTTATTTTATACATTGCATGGAATTGTTAAAGTGTTAAACATTTAAGCTATAGAATTATTAAATCTATATATAAATTTGGCTTGTCTGTTTGTTTGTATCCAATAAACATCAAAACGGCTGAACCGATCGGGCCCAAATTTTTTGTGGGACATCTAGGGACCCCAGGGAAGGTTTATGAATGATCAAAATTTCAAATATTTGTCTCCATCAAAATTTGATCTTCACTAAATTTTTGTAAATTTTGAAAATCTACGAAATTTTTTGTGAAAATCCGCGAATTATTTTTGTTTTGCTTTACGATGTACACAAAGAGTTATTAATTTATTTTATTTAAACTTGCAGTGTGGAAGTACGAAGGGTCAAATGGTTCTGAAACAATTGAAGTCTCCAATAGTCTTCTGTACAAATCTGGTTAGCTATAGTTTTGTAAAATTTAGAACCCTGTAAAAAAAAATATTCTTTTTAGATGTTTGATCATAATATGCTTTTCATATTATATTAATCTTAACAACAAATTATGTAAAAGAATTGCAGTAAGTAAGATGTTGGAATCTGAACTAGATAAAAAAAAATTAGAAAAAGGTCACTTCTAAATTTTCTACTATAGTGTATCTACCTTTTATCAGGCCATTTCTGGTGTATGACTTTAAAACGATAAATTATAAATTGATTTTAAGGCAAATAACATATTTTTTCACCCATTACATTAAGTATTTTAATTTTTATGAATTTTATATCCCCTACAGCAATGTTATTCAAAAAACCTGTTATATAAAATGGTTACTGAAATGTCTACAGCACAACCTTGTTATAACATATAAAATATTGAAATCTAATTTTTTATTTTTAACCTGAACGGTTTTCTTTTAAAAAATATTATTTTTTATGTTTGCTGCACAATTTTAACAAGCATAAGTTATTATTATGGATTATTAGCAAAAAAATGTCGTTTTCAACTAAAGTTTTGTTTCCCGTCAGCAAAAATACATAGATTTTAATAAATGTTTGTTCTTTATGCCTTTTTTCCACCTTTTCTATATCAGTATTCACTTTTCACCCTATTATTCTGAACTTGAAAAATATTAACCAGTGTACAGTGATTTAAATAAAAGCAAGAGTACAAGCACAATTTACTTTGTTAAAGGTTTATTTGGAAGAATTTAAAAGAGTAGAAACCTGCTTTTACAGTGTTGGTTATTTTAAATTAATTGTTTAGGCTCCCGCAGAACTTGCAAAAACCAATAAACTGTGCAAAGATAGCATGGGAAAGGTAAAGCTTTCATGCTTTCTGAGTTAGATTGATATTTCTAGTATTGTTTGATGATTAAATACATTTAATATCAAACTGGTAATGAAATAGGGCCAACTTAAAACAAACTTTTTTTAACCTTTACATAAATATACACTCTGTCAATGTTCAAAGTACGATGCCAGGAAAATGAATAAATATCTCAAAGTATGACACCAGAAAATTGAATAGATTCCTTTCATTGTTAAAAAATTACTTATTTAATTTGCATAAATTTATTTACATATTACATGAGTCCAACAAATTCCTTCTGGTTTCTTAAAACCAGAACATTAAAAGATTATTTAAAATTTTAAGATTGCACAATCTGTATGGCTGATGATTTAATATTTACAAGGAGAAAGTTGAAGAAATACTGGTTCACAAAAGTACTTATTTAATATAATTTTGAATTCAAGAAATATACCGGAAATCAAATGTAAATGATAGCTTAAACAAGTGTATATTGGCCTATTCACAGCAAAAAATGTATTGCTCTTCAATGAAATAAAAATATTTTACTCCAGGGGGTCTCCATAGTTCTCCAATGATGATTTATCGGGTCCGTAAAAGTATGACCCACCCACCCCCCTCCTTTCTCCTATCAATTTTGTACATGACCACTTTTTCAACAATTTTCAATAAAATTAGTACATATTTAGGGTTCGGTTAGGTGAACACACTATCAGGACCGAACGCTGCGGCCAGGAAAAATTATGAGGCCGAGCCCTGCAGCCACATAGTCAATTAAATCCATGTCTTTCATAAAAGATTAGTATATATTTAGGGTTAGGTCAGGTTAAGACACTTTCTGGCCAGAGTGCTGCTACTAAAACAGACTAGGGGGCCGAGCGCTACGGCTAAGACAGGCTAGGGGGCCGAGCGCCACGGCTAGGACAGGCTAGGGGGGCCGGGCACTGCGTCCATATGGTCAATTATATTTATGTCTGACATATAAGATGCATGTACAAAAGGTGGGGGGGACAAGAATTGTATATTAAGAAATTGCCGATTTATTTCCAGACTAACGTAAATTTTTTTTGTTTAAAACATGTTTCAGAAGGTGGAAGGTGTTTATATAGTGCCTTAAAGTTTATATTATTCTTTGTTTCACAGCCAAATCTGTCCGATTTAAATATTCTGAAGTATTAACCTAGTCATAATCTGCTATGTGGTTTGATAGGTACCAGCACTAAACCTCAGATCTATTGAATGAAAACTCTACTTTTTTTAACTCTCTTCCTCAAAATAATTGTGCTCTGAATTGCCAATTTAGTTCATTTATATTTGTAAAATACAATATGCAGCGAAGAAATTTTAATTATCTCCCTCAACTTAATAGATTTTACATCTTCTAAGTTGAAAGCCCAGGGCTGGCGAGTTTAGACGATTCATCGCTTAAAAGTCTCGACAATATCATTGACTCTTATTTACAAAACCTTGCCCTCATTTACGATGAACTGAAATATAACCTTCTGTCTTGTTCAATAAGAATAAATTTAAACTGTTAGTTGGATATCAGTGATTAAAGGAATATACTTAAAATACAAGTCTTATGAATATTACATAATTAAAACTTAAACCTTAAATAATTTTTGCTAAATTTAGATGATCTACATTCATTTCGTAGAAGCTAGAATCAACGTGAACAAAGGATCAATTGAAGAAGTTCTAAAGCTTTTTGAAGAAGTGAAACAGGTAAATTTGATTTTATGCTCTTTTGGAGCAGTGTTAAGGATCCGGATCCGCAAGATCAGCAAAAGTTTGAGTTCTTGTACCCAGATCCTGCAAATATGCGATCTTTAACAATTCCCTTATTTTATAATGTTTCAACAAGTTTCAGCCCAAAAAGAAAAAAATACAAAAGGTTAAATATTCGCTTTTGTATTAAAACAAACGTTAAATTTTATAAGATATTATATGGATTAAGATTTGGAACCGGATCCATTTTTCGAGTGTGGATCCATGATTCAGATCTGAATAAAAATTGGATCCTAAGCACTGTTTTAGAGATTTGTTCATTATTTACATATTTCCTGAGTTAGTAATTTTTGAATACTGCAATTGGGATTAACTGTTGACCCGCTATTTTTATAAATACAAATATAAATAATAATAATAAATATAAATAATGCTTGTTCTCCTCTTGTTTTGTTTTTTCCAGATTTATTAACTGATCGGAATTAAGGAAATCCCATTCTAAAAGTTAAAGCTTAGCACAAATTTAATATAATGTATCATTTATTAGTGAATACTAACATGCAAACAAAATGTGTACAGCTGTGAACTTTAGAATGAATAACACAACTGCCAAATAAGAATATCCAATATGGAAACTTTTAATTGTATTCAAAGTACAATATTTTTCTTTCTTATAGCTTATCCGTACATTGTTTCTCCAATCACAGTGAGGAATATATCAATTATCTAAACTATACAAGCTCCTATAATTTGTGCTAATATGTTCCTTGTTATAATGACGCACTTCCAACTCACATTCTCAACTCTTGACGTTTACTTTCATTTAAAAAATGCGTGTTTAATAAATTGATACGATACCAGTGAAGAAAATGAACAAATCTGGCGTTCCTTGAATACAAATCATTCCTCTTGAATAACATAATTACGAGGTTATGTTAGTCTCAAAATTAGTGAAAAGAGAGGATCAAGTTTTAATCCACCATTTTTTAGATTCCGGAGCTCGAGATTTAAAAATTTCGGCCCAAGTCTCAATTCATAAATTAAGACTTAAAAACCCCCAATCTTCGACCCAACATTGACAATAGCTTGTGTCACATGATTGACAGCTGCAAGATCTTCTGTTCGACTGAAGGAGTTTTGCCAAATAAAAATTAAACAACCTTGGTTGGTATTTGTGTAGAATAAGGCTCAAATGTTCAAATCAAATTTTTTGAAAATAAGATGCAGCTTGAATCAGAAAGCTCAAACTGTAAATAAGGCCCAACGACAGCTTATACCGGCATCATATTTTTCAAATTTTGTTAAATCACCGGCTCAAGTCAGACTAACTGTTCAAAAT